AAATCTTATTGAAGTTGACATCCATAATCTGAGAAAAAAACTTATTATAAGTAATCGAAATAAATTAATTCCAATTATAAAGACAATTATTTTTCTTGGCTGCAATGATATTGCTTTTCGAGGTCATTGTGATGACAGTAAGTACCATTCAATTCAAAGATTGGAGAAACATGTAAAAACAACATTGGTATAGGTAACTTTGTAGAGCATTTAAATTTTTATATTGAAGTAGGTGATAAAGTTCTTGAGCACCATATTGGTTCTGCTCATAAAGATGCAACCTATATATCTAAAACTACACAAAACGAACTTATTGCATGCTGTGGAAAAATAATCGAAGAAGTTCTAATTAATAAAATTAAAAAGTTAGGTTTTTTTTCTATCTTGTGTGATGGAGCCTCTGATAGTTCTAATGTTGAACAGCTATCTCTAGTTATAAGATACATTGACTGCGATAATGTTATTTGTGAAGGCTTTCTACGGTTCATTGAATGTAAAGTTGTATCAACAACTGGTCTTAGTCTTGCGCAAAACAATAAAAGTAAGAGTTATAATATTGATACTTCTTCAAAAGCTTCATGTTTTTTAAATCTTATGACTAATTTTTCTTTTTTTGTAAGTTTAGTTTTAACCAAACAAATAATGGACTATTTCTATGCCATCACTATTGTTCTTCAAACTAAAGCGTTTGATATATCACAACAGTGTAATGAAATAAATGGTCAATTTAAAAGCTCAATTTAAAAACTCAAATTTTAGGTTTAAAAAAAAATATTGATGTCTATCATAACGATTGGTACTTAATTGCTCTTGATCTAGCTAAGGCTCTTGATGTTTCAGAAGTTAAACCAAGGCTCTGTGGCAGCTTGTTTACAAAGGTTTGTTTACAAAGTTTTATCTGATATTCCTACAACTGTTGTAAAAAAAAGTAAAGAAAAATGTTTTTGGAAGTTAGATTTTATGGAATTTTTGCATTTTTATATATCGGATATGCCTCATAATACATCAATTCATGCTGAATTAGATTTGTGGGAAACATTTTGGAACAATCTGTGATCCCATCCAATATTACAGAGACTTTAAAATCTATTGATATGAGGTGTTTCCCAAACATTAGGGAAGATTTTTTTATAATGGGAACAATTCCAATTACTACATGTGAATGCGAGAGGAGCATTTCTGTTATACACAGACTGAAAATTTATATGCAAAGCCGCATGACAGAGTTAAGTTTTAATTCTTTAGCTCTGATGTCTATTCATCAAGAAATAATTCCTGATGTAGAAAGAGTTTTGAATATTTTTTCTGTTTTAGGGGAACGACGCTTAGAGTTGGTTTTTACCTAATATTAATTTATTAATTTCATTTTTGTTTATTGACTATATTCTTGTATTTTAGTTTCTTTTATATTTAAGTTTATTTTATATTTAATGAAAACTAGAAAAAATAAAATTAAATTAAATAATAATAGCCTAGGCAACATTGTTGTTAGTTTTGTTTTAGATGGGTAATTGAGAACAATGCCCGGTAAGTAATAATCAAGTACTGATGCCGCTTTGAACTCCCCCCTTGCTAGCCCGAGGGAAAGGTTTACAAAAAAAATATCGCAAACTATTTTGGCAACTCGAAAAAAAACAGGTAACACCCACAAAAAATCCTGCATCCGCCCCTGGGTGCAAAGTTTTAACCAATAGTAACTGCAATTATTTAGCAAAAGGTTTATTAAAACTCGGTATTTAAATTGAACCACTTGATTTTAAGCTTCTTTTCTTGCTTCAAGTCATAACGCGATATTTGATTAAAAAGACAACTGAAACAATTTTTGAAAAATCAAAAAAATTATTATCTAAATAACTAAAGTTTAAAGTTTCATTAGCCGTATATCATAATTCCGTTCATACTTGTAGTACTCCATTCATTTAATATAAAGTTTATAAAAAAGTTGTTGTTTGCCGTTTCGTTTTAAAAAATAATTTTTGCATTTTTAGGGTATTTTTTTAAAAGTAAATAAGTTTAAACAAGTTTTTAAGGCAAATAAGTTTTTTAAGGCAAGTAAGTTTAAATGCTAATTTAGCAATGCAAAAAATTAAACCATGACACCATTTAGTTTATTGAGAAGTGTATTATTATATAATTTTTCAAGTATCTTATTTTCTATCATTATTTAAACTTTAATAAAATACTGGTCGTATAAACGTAATTGGTTAGTAAAGGCTTAATTTATAGAGAAGAAAAACGTCGTTTACTTTTGACACCGTTTGTATTCTCTAATTTAAGTATTAGATTTTGCAAAAAAAAATAAATAAATAAAAAATGTATTGATCGTGTTATTATTCAATATATAAACTTTGGGCTAAAATAATACAAAAATCATTAGAACTTTATAAGTAATGATAAAACAACGCTATTTTTACATAAAGTTTGTAATTATCTTAAATTTTGGATTTAAGATGCCACACCCTGGTGTTAAAAGATACAAAGTTAAATGCAAAGTAAACAGCTGTTCACATTCAATTTTTGATAATGACTATTGGATAACGCATAATAAAAACGTTGCCTGAAATTCTAGATTTCTCTGATCAAACTCTGTTAGTAGAATCCCAACCAAATGATGTTATTTATTGGAAAAAGAAACTACGTTTTCAGGTTCGGTGGGTAAATTCGCAAAACTGTGTAAACTTTTAACTGAACGCAATTTAAAACTTGAAAAAGTGAAAAATACAGACGATTTACATTTTGAAAAACTTCTCATTGAAATTACAGAGCTTGTCTGTGAGACAAAGATTTCATCAGTAAATGTACTGGACGCGACTGTCCAAGCTCTGGCTAACATTTTAAACAATAGAAAATATAGTAGTATAAAAACTCCTACTACAAAAAAATTCTTTCTTTCGCATGATCCTGGCCAGTGTCCCAAAATTGAAAATGATAACCAAAGAAACTATCTAATTAAGCTGGGACCACTTCAAGTAAAACTTAATAAGTTTCCTATCAATGAAAAATTGACAAAAGGAAGCAAAATCGTTTTTCATCATTGTGGTACAAAGAATACCCTCACTTAGAGTATGGTATACTTAAAGATAGCGCATTCTGATACGTATGCTTTCTTTTTCTAAATGGACCCGGGAGAGAAAATAGCGAAGTTGCTTGGGTATCCGCATGTGGCATAAAAAGAGTCGAGGAAAAAAAAAGTAAAAGAGAAAAACTGTTAAAACATTTTTCATCAAAATCTTATAAAGCATCGTTATTGGACTATTGTAACTATTGTAATAGTGTTTAACATATTAATCTCCTCTTGGACAAGAAACAAAGACAAGTTACTATAAACGAAAAAGAAGAAATTGAGTCTAACAAGTGTGTTATAAAAGTTCTTATTGATTTGGCTCGAACATTGAGTAGAAAAGAAGTAGCGTTTCGTGGAGATGATCGGGTTGAAAATGGAAACTTTAGACAGTTGGTCTACTTTATTTCGAGACATAATTTGGTACTTAAGCGGTGGTTAAGCAACACGAAACATATCACGTGACATATATGAGTGCTAAATCCCAAAATAATTCCATTCATTTACTTGGACAAGTTAATCAAGCATCAATGTTTTCATTTATGCCAGATACAACTCTTGATGTGTCACTCAGTGATAAATTAGCAATTGCTGTTAGGTACGTGGATAATACCTGTAATATTAAAGAAAGAATTTTGCAGGTATGCGGGGTAACTGACAAAACAGGTAATTGGAATTACAAACTTAATAATATCGAAAATCAATAACTTTCAACTTGATGTCAATAGTATTGTATTTCAAGGATAGGATTACGCCAGCTTTATTCTAGCAAATTTAACGGAGTTCATGCAAAAATTTCAGAAAAGCTCAAACGAGTTATACTTTATATTCTATGCCAAGCTCATTAAACTAACACTTTTGTTGAGCATGCGGTTAAAAATGTTTTCGATGTTCTTGAAATGTGCTACGTATTTATATCTTCAAGTACTAAACGATTCAGCTTACTTAGTTCTAAACTTGAGTGCATTGAAAATTCATTGAAACTTTGCAATCTATCAAAAACTAGATGGTTAACGCGTTCAGAATCCATTCAAGCATTTTGGATAAGTATGGAATTTATTGTTGAATGTTTTTATGAAAAAAGTCAGTCTGATTTATTTGACAAAGAAAACAAAGGATCAAGCTGTAGCAATACTTAAAAAAATTGTGAATCCAGATTTTATCATTATGTTTATGCTTATTAAAAGAGTCATTGCAAAAACAAAGATTCTTACTGATGAGTTACAGAAAAATGAGTTTAACATTTTAGATGCTAAAATGATTGTATTGTCTACAATACACTCTCTTGAACGAATTAGAAAAGATAAACTCCCCAGTAAGCATAGGACGTTTTTAAAACGTTTTAATTCCGTTCAATTTACGGTCGGACGTTTAAAGAACCGTTTTTAAAACGCTTTTTTGTAAACGTTTTTTTTTTAAACGTTTTTTAGCGTTTTATTTTTTTTGTTAATATCCCAGTAAGCACAGGACGTTTTTAAAACGTTTTAATTCCGTTCAATTTACGGTCGGACGTTAAAAGAACCAATACAATCGTTTTTAAAACGTTTTTTTGCAAACGTTTTTTTAAATGTTAATTTAAACGTTTTTTTAGCGTTTTTTAAACGTTTTATTTTTTTTATTAACTTACGGTTAGCTTATGAACGTTTTTAAAACGTTTTTTTTAACGTGATAAAAAAACTTTTTTTAAACGTAATATTTAAACGGCAATATTTAAAAGAGTATGTTTACGCAAATAATGGCGTGACCTTCGATTAGGCGAAT